CCTGTCAAGGCAATTGGGTTTTCTCTTGACATGTCCCGTTGGGCTCAGATGTGGGTGGGAAGCACAGATATTGAAATTTAATTCATATAATGAATCAAAATAAAAAAAAAAAAAACCTGAAATGGAAAATAATATTGGACTTCCTGAGATTTTTTGTGCTACAGTCTTTGGACAGAACTCCTTTGTCAAGACTGTCTCCTTTCTTGATTGAGAAAGTTTTGTCCAGTCGGATTAAACCAAAATCAGAATGATTAGAGGCGGCAATTTAACGGTGGAAGTTGAAACCAGAAAGCATGGGGAATTTATAATGCAAATGAATACTTTTCACAATGTGAATATTAAAACTTTCTCTCACACAAGTTTGAATACATCAAGGGGAGTTATTAGAAGTAAAGAACACTCTTTGGCCACCCCAGAAGAAATTTCATCTGCCGTAAGCAGCCAGGGAGCCTCTGATTTAGAAGAATCTCCATCAGAAGAAATGGGGAAAAATATTAACACACATATACATCCTTACGTTCAACTCATCTAGGATCCCATCAAAATAGGATATGATGTCGATCCAGTGGAGCTATATATCCCGGCTCTTCTGAGATGTTTTGAATTCCAGAAATTTGGACATTACAGAGATAGTTGTAGGAGTCACCCTACATGTGAAAAATATGGTCAGAAAGACTCTGATCATGGTGAAGATGAGTGCCGGGATGAAATTAAATGCGCACATTGCCTGGAAAATCATCGAGCTTACTCTCGGACTTCTGAATAGTGGAAGAAAGAAAAAGAAATTATAGAGGTGAAATATAAAAGAAATATATAAGAAGAAAAAAATAGTTGAAGGGTAGATGTTAGGGTAGGTGAAGGGCTCTTCCTATGCAAGAATAGGAATAAGACAGGGCCAAATAACTCTAATCAGGATGATAAATATAGAGAGCTTATTGAGAGACTTGTACACTTTATTGCTGAATGATTGGCCCAACTTTAAAAAATATTTGAAAGAAATAGATTGCAAAGAATTGGAACAAGCTGAACCAGGAAAAGTAAAAGGGAACTGCCATCTCTGACTTGGACCTCTCCCCCCCAAAATGTTAAGCCATCTGCAGAACAAAGGCCACAGAGATCACCTATATATCCACCTAAGATCCTAAACACGAGATTAAATGCCACTCCAAAGTGAACGGAAACTACCAAGCAAAAGTTGGAAGTTCATAAAGCCCAAGTATCTACTGAAAATTGTTTTGATGAGTTGGAAGGAATGGAAGTAGATAGCCAAAACTATCAAACGGCTAAAACTTCTAAATAAAAAAACTAATAAGCCATAAGCATGTACAAAATAATGCAGTGGAACTGCTGTGGAATGAAAACAAATATTAACCAGCTGCTTCTTTTGATAACAGACCGGAATCCGACAGTTATTTGCCTTCAGGAAACTTTTCTTAAGAGGGATGATAAAGTAAGTATTACCAGCAATACAATTATATAAATGACGCTCGTATTTGGGCATCAGGTTGTACATCTATCTTGGTCAACAATGATGTTCCACAAAGTCAGATGAGCTTAAAAACAAATTTACAGGAAATAGCTGTAAAATTAATGCTGCACAGACCAATTAACATTTGCGTGGTGTACATTCCACCGAATGAAGCGATTAATGAAATTGAATTGCAGGAGATTATAAGGCAACTCCCTGCTTTGTGTTACTAGGGAAAACACCATATGGGGCTGTAAAGATACAAACCAGAAAGAAAAGAGTATGGAATCTGTTATAAACAACAATGATTTGTATATTTACAGTGATAAATCATCAACTTTATATATATCCATTCTCAGGCAGTTACTATGCAATCAATCAATCTTTATGGACTTTCCCTGGAAGTTAAAGATGGACACATGTGGCAGCAATCATTTTCCAACTGTTCTAAAAAAAATTCAGAGCAAAGTGATAAAAATCCTCAATGTTGGAAATTGTGTAAAGCAAACTGGGAGGGATTTCAAAAACTATGTTCGGAAAAACTAGAAGAGGGATTTTGCATCAGGGACATTACACGATTTACAGAAATCAGGGTTTCTATAGCAAAGAAATGCATTCCAAAGAATAAAATTAAAAAAAAAAACACGTAATAGACCTTGGTTTAATGAAGATTGTAAAAAGTCTATCAGGCTTAGAAGAAGGGCATTAAGACAATTGAACAAAGAGCCCACAACAAATAACTTGCTGAAATTTAAGCAACTTCGAGCAAAAACTCGAAAAATAATCAAAGATAACAGGAATGTTGGAGAAATTACATCAGCAAACTTAGTTCAGCAACAAAACAAAAGTTGTTGCATGTGATATGATAAAGAAAATAGCTGGTAAATTTTATACTGATGCAATAAAACACTTGTCTGTAAATAATAAAAAATAACCAGCAAAAAGGATATCGCTGACGAATTAGAAAAATCATCAGTCAATAATGGTAGTCAACAATTTGTTAAGTTCAAAACAAAAGTTGAAAAACAAAAAAAACTTTAAATCCAATAATGGTGACAGCTACAACCTTCCATTTATGATAGAGGAAATGAATGAATCATTAAATAAAGCCCATAATACAGCTGTTTTGACCGGACGTTATTCACTATTAATTCTTAAAGCAGCTGCCAAAGAAATTTTTGCAACTGTCACTTAAACTATTTAATAATATAGGGACAAGTGGCCACTTCCCAGATTTGTGGAGACAGTCTTTAATTATTCCTATTTCGAAATGTGGGAAGGATGACTCAGAACCTGGAAATTACAGGCCAATAGCTTTAACCAGTTGTCTATGCAAGACCATGGAAAGAATGGTCAACAACAGATTGACTTGCTATTTGAAAAGAATGGCTTAATCTGTGATTACCAATACGCGTTCAGGAAAAACAGAAGTACCATAGATCATTTAAGGGATTCATAGGAGCCATAGACTATTACCGACAGTTCATCACATCTTTTTCTTGGCTGGCTACCTGTATGATAGCATTGACCAGAAAGTACGCTAAGTTTAACTGGACAGAGGACTGTCAGAGTGCATTAGACAGTGGTACCTTTATTAACGTATCCAGACCTTAGCAAGCCGATGGTACTCTACACAGATTGCTAGTGATCAATGTATTGGAGTAGTCCTTACTCAGCCATGCCCAAACAGGGATGGTCCAGTGTCTGGTGTACTGGAGGAAGTACTGGTATACTTCCGATTACATAGACACTCCGAAACGCAGCAGAGGTGACCGGTGATAGAGTAGGAAACTTACGCCATTATGTATGATTGCAAAAATGAGATTACTACCTGAATGGAGCAGTATTAACTCTCAAGACTGACCACAAGACACTCCAATAATTCTTGGGAGCTGAATGGACTAACAAGAAGATCCAGCGTTGGGCACTGAAGTTGAGCGGGTACTACTGTAAAATAGAGTACCTGGTTGGTAGGATAATACATACGCGGATTTGCTGTCACGAATCCCAAAACAGCTGGAAGCAGAATCCGTAAGGGTAGAGTCTGGAGTAGATGATAGGTCCTACCAGATACAGGTAATCACTCCAATAGATTAAAGGACCATCCTGAGACAGAAAAGACCACACAAGTTGTGGCTGGGCCTCACTGGAAAGAATCAATGAGAGGATCAGGAAGACGGTGAAATAGCTGCCTTCAGAGCAAAAATAGAGGCAGTGCATGACGAAATGCTATATAAACCTCTCGAGGAAGGATGAAGAGGTAAGGCTCAGATTGTATTGTGTGATATATTGGCTAAATTGGCAAAGGGTAATGCCAAGAATTGGGATCGGTATTTGACGCAGGCTTTGGCAGCAGTGAGGTTTACCACAAATTTTACCTCTAAATTCTCACCATACTATATGCTGTTCGGACGAGATGTGGTTTTACCAGTAGATAACCTGTTAAAGACCACCACAGATTGATAATAGAACAGCAACATAAGTTGTTTACTCAGGCCAAAAGGAGAATAAAAAGGGCATAAATGAAGAGGAATGAGAGGGTGAACAAAGGGAGAAAGGAGGTAGAGTTAGGGGTTAGAGATTCCTGAGGGAAGGTAAATTGGACCAGATGTTGAAATCCTATTATAGAATAGTGGAGTAGACAGGGCCAGTGTCCTTTGTAATCTGGGACCAAATGGCGGGACGAGTAAAAAGGTCTCATGCCAACGACCTCAAAATGGCTGAGGTAGATGATCGGGAAGGAACCGAAACAAGAAAGGAAGGATGAGGAAAACTAGTGGATCTAAGAAGGTTGCGTGAATATTAAAGATTGTGCTGTAAATAAAATATGCAATATCCATAAATATAAATTATAAGTAATGGCCAAATGGTAAAGATATTCAATAACAACAAAAATACATGTTTGAAACAACAGATTAAATTTTATTTACACACTTTACAATTTCTTTGTTTGTAATGATGTGTGCTAAGGTATATTTTAGAGAAAAAGTTCTTTGTTGTTTCAGAAATGTTCAATGTCTAAAAAGTTGTCTGCTTTTGATTAAAAAGGTTGAATTTAACTTAGACAAAAGATTTTTCTATGAAAGATATTGAGTGAAAAGTTTGTTGCATAAATTTTTCTAATCTCTCGTAAAGGAAGTTTTTCTTTGGTGGCACATAATTCCCGTGTGTATCTTTCGCGTCTGTGAGTCTCAAATGCAACGAAAATTCGTTTGCTATTTCTATTTATAGTATTTTTAACAACGAAATCGGCTCCAATGGGGCTTGGTTGCTGTTGCGAATTTTTCTGAGAAATGCGTGGGCGAATGTTGTATTTTTTATTTTTTAGCCAATAGGATTTCATTTAAATTAGGGATAAATTTGAGAAAGATTTTTTTTACGTCGGTTGAGTCTACTTTTGCACAAATTTTGACTGTTTTGTTATGGAAATTTCTCGAAGCTTATTTTTATTTAACAACCAATGAAATTCAAGAAAATGTTTGAAATTGAAATGAGGGTTACTAAAAAAACAACCCTCGTGGAGCCAGAAGAAATGGAAACAGATGAAGACTCGGAGGAGGAAAAAAGAAGAGAAATAAGTCAACGGCCAGTAGAAAGGGTTATAACTAAATCGAGAAAACCGCCAATGAATCAGCGAAAATCAAAGGACCCAAGTGATAAAGTCCGGGGTTCTTATTCGAAACCTCTCGAAGAGAACAAGGAGATAAATGATTTGGAAGAATAGGATAAAATACCTCTCTCTCTCTCAAGGTTGAGCCAGAGTTAACTCTTAAGCAGAGACTGAGAGGGGCGTGAACCCCTGAATCTCAATAAAGAGAAATACAGGTGAGAACGATGGGGTGAATGGATATGATGTCGATGCAGAAAGACGTCGGGTTCATTAGAAAAGCCCATCCAGTAAAAGAGTAGAAGTTGTTTGGAGAGGGCGGGGTGTTGATAGCGCGTCATGAAGGGCGGACAAATTTATTTATTGGTGCTGTCGTTGGTCTGCATAAGGGTCCGTGTATGTCCGACGGTAGTATCGGTGAGACGTCAATTTTGAGCGAAGCGCCTCACACCTGCCTGAGACAAGTTAAACCTGCTGAAAATTGATCAGCAACAAGAATAAGTTGAAATTGAAACAAATTAAATGGGAAGAAATATTTGGAAGAGAATAATTATGAAAGCTTGTAAACGTTGAATGGTCAGAAAAATAAAGCAAGAAAATCTTGTTACACTTGCAGGAATAGCTGGCATGGCGATGTTTGATACTACTGGTAATGATGGTAGCAGTAGGTGCTTGGAAGTACAGCCAAAATATGATTTTCAGAAAAAACAAGTGAAGTGACAGTAACGCGATCAAAATGGTTAGTCACTTTCATGATAGATTTGCACCCCTACAAATTGCTGTTAAATAAATTGGGAAGCGAACTGCTTAAGCTGAAGACAGCCAGAATGAAGGTAGCGGAGAATTAGATCAGAGAGGAACAATACCTTAGATTACTACACTCCCTGGAGCTGGAGTTTTCCTTATTGAAGCCCCGGTGGAAGTGTAGGAGTTAGCTCCTCTTTAATTCCCTAATTGTCACTCGGGGTCTCTCTCCCTATACTATAAATACTGGGCGACTTCTTGCCTCGTTCTCTTCTTTCTTCATTGGGGATTTTTTACCTTGTTGTTTTTATTCCCCTGTCCCCACAGACAACGATTTGTGCACATGGGGATTATTTAGGATTTTCATTGAGACAATGAGGTATTTAGGTAGTAAGAAAGGTAAGTATGAATGTGTTGTTTTGGTGGTAGGAATATTGCATTGTTTGATTGGGTCAGTGGTTGTGGCTAGCTAAGTTTAAAAATTAAGACAGGTAATGACCGTCCTTTCCCCACTCCCTTTTAAAGCCTTGTGCCACATTTTCTGTATTTTACAGAAATAAACATTCTTCTTCTTTCTTCTTGCTACAAGATGTAGTTGCAAAAGGATTCTCGTCTCGACCATGAGCGGTCAGACGTTAAAGGCACATTCACGCACATTTAGCGTCCCGCTATCACCTTTTTTTTTATCAATATCAATTTTCGTACAAAAAGTGGATCACAGAGCTTATTCAGCTTAGTAAATATTTTCAGAAAATCTCAACTTCTAATTGGTCACTTAATATTTAATAACATCGACCTAGTTCTTGACCTGACCAGAAAGATAATTCCGCCAAAATCTATCAAGCTTCTGTGAGCCTATCACATGACCAAAGTTAGCAATAAAATATGAAACGTCTTTCATCTTCGACAGTGCGCCGATCGGAATCCTTTGAACTCCTCACACAGTTCCAGGTTTTACGTTAAAGTTCCTTAACAATCATGATTCCAGCCTGAGAGAACACTCATTCACACAGCAATATTTTATGACGAACAATCAACTCAAGTTTTCCACATTCAAATTAATACACGAATCTTTTTCATACGCTTTCAAGCTCAACGTTAATTATTGCAATTAACATAAACACAGCTTCTTAAGAACCACTTACCCCAACTAGAATATTCTCTTTGAACAAGTGAAAACAAATCAAAGAGCGACAATTCCGTAAACCTTAAAGTAAGTCGTAAACAATATTTCTCTATTTCAAATACAAACTTGAACTGTTTATTTTTTTTCTTAAATTACTATAATACCAAAACACACTTTCTCATTATTGTACAGACCATTCAACAAATTATAATTTATCAAACCAGAACTTTGATAACTTTTCATCTAAACATAAAAGGACGTTTAAACTTTTTAAAAAACTACCGTTTTACTCCAGTTGTTTGTACCTCTTTAAATATTTTATTCATTGTTGTGCAAAATCTGTTGTTTCTCATGTTGTCCTTATTCTATGTTTGCTGAATACTGAAATTTAATGTGAGAGGAAATTGTTATTAATTTCATCACGCTGCTTAATTTACTCAATTTTTAATCAATATAATTTTTAATCCATTAACACAACCTCCACACACGCACGTACGTACGAACTTTTCCAAGCTACATTTAAAAACATACAGAACATTTCCAAACAAGCAACAGGAACTTTTCTCTTTGAAACATTCTTCTTAAAGCTACAGTTTATTCATCATTCCTCAGCTTCCTCAACTTTTATGAGTTTAGATAAAAATATTTGCAGTCTAAGGGACATAACACCCACAGATCTTTAACTTCTACGCATGTACATCAATATACACAAATAAATACAAATGTTATGTTTTTAAATCCAATTTTGTTCCTTCTTATATTTCATGTTTTGCGGTATTTTACGTCAAATATAAATTGTGTGGTCATGTTATTCACGCAGCCGTAAACAGACATTTACAAACCATCCATCCTTATCAACATACAACTACAAATGGTAACCCCGACGTTTGACATGGGAAGAGAAAACAATAGACCACCACAGGATATGAAAAATTATTTAGAAGAAATCGAACATTTACAGACAAGAAGGAAAAAAGCAGTAATCCCCATTGTTGAAAAGGCGTTTAAGCGTTCTGTTCGGAACAGTGACCCAAGCAGAAATTAAAATTATAAGGAAGAAGCTGGAAAGAGTGGAAAAAGACAAGAGAATTTTAGCCCTGGTTGCACAAAGAAATATATATTGATACTCAATATGACGTGATTAGAACTGGTGGAAAGCGGAATAAGTATAAATCATGGGTTAAAAAATGATATGCAAAAGTTGAGACAAGAGGCGGTTATGGCGATTGACGTACAGGTGTTTAAGTAGTTTCGTTCATTAATTTTCAATTAATGACAATTCTTAATAAGGTATGCCAGACTAGCCAATCGGTGATGATTATTGTTATTCTTATTCATTCATTGTATGTGAGAGCCCAATTGGATATGTTATCATTGGGACTTTTGCCCACGAGTATAGTGACCTCTGGTCACTTGAAGGAGTTTGTGTTGAAAATACAAACGGAGTTACCTCACTGAAGAGTTATGGAGATACGACAAAGCATTAATGATTAAGTTGTGTTACTTTTCTTGAAGATAACAAAGTAAACAAACTGTTGGTTTTATTTAAATGGCCCTACCATTGTTAGTGTTGATCGTGGTTTTTTTTTTACTCTGAAATTAATTTTATTGGACAAGCCTACAAAACTGCTGACTTATAATTCTGAAATATGGTTGATATCTAAAATAAATAACTTTATTCATGTAATTTCTGCTTCTTTCGAACTGTTATGATGTTTAATTATCGGTAAGAAGAGTAATTTGAAGGTAATGTTTGGTGTTACACCGACACAAATTGATTGGTTGTTGAGCAAGTGACGTCATCATACACAAAATTCAAACTTTTCTCTGTCAAAACACGTTGTTCGATATCATATTTTTCGGCTAAGTTTGTTGTCACCGTTTTTATGTCGTAAAAGGTTCAGGTAAAAAGAAAATCTGGTAAGTTTAAAAATATTCTTAAGGTTATGCATAAAAATTACATGACTTGAATTTTTACTGTTTTAATCAAAATTCATTTTTCGTTATTAAATTGTGTACACTTTCTTTTCAATTCAAAATTTTGCATAACTATCAAAATCAAATTATTTACGGTAAAAAATACACTAACGGTTTTGAATTTGTTGAATTATTCGAAAAGAAAGACCCTTCCTTATGAAAACTTGATTTTTTTAAAATTTGTTTTACTAACTATGTTTTGTAAACAGAAACTGAATTGAAAAATTCATTGAACCTGATTAATTAATTGTGGAAATATTTTTCTTTTATATTATTTGTAAAAAAGCATTTGTGTATGTGCAACATTTTTAGACTATTTAAATTAAAAAAAGGGCAAATCTTAATTGTTTTCAGTAGTAACAAATTAATTACCTATGAATGCGTAATTTTCAGCTTAAAATAATTTTAAAAAGTGCATTGTAAATGTAAAGATTGTTTTGCTATGTGTATTTCTAAAGTTTTCAAAACGATCTACCTGCATACAAGAATAACTTTTTTGTTTTTAAATTAAAATTTACTCTTACATTTTTTTTTTTTTTTTTTTTTTTTTTGAGATGATGAGAAAACCAATGGTATATGTTGTACATGGATGGGAAGCAGAGAACATTGACAGTATTTTAAGACAAGTGAAAAAAAAGTGCAGTGATAACGGAACACAACAAAATGGTAACTCTTTCTTCAAAATTACATTATGGTCGTGCGTGGATGATAAAAACTGGTCTGGTCTACCTACCAACTTACATTTTGGTTTTGGTGTATATATTTTTTTTTTTTTCATTTATGCCTGTATTGTGATATTGGCCTATAATTTGATAAAATTATTTGGAATCACTTTTAAAAGACTTAAAAATAAAATTTATTAATCACCTACCTACACTGTCTGTTAGTAGGTAGCCCCCATCCTGGCTTCCTTCCAAACAGACACTTAAAGTAGGTATATTCAATAATTCGCTGAAAAAACAGCATAGCATGATAAAAAAAAGGCCCCAAACTTAACAGACTGCTGAGAATCCTAAAATGAAAATTATATTAAAACTAAGATTATTTAATTAGAAAAGCATTTGACTGCCTTTATGAATAAAATGCAAGACATTATTTTTCAAAAGATTTTTTTTAATGAATAATGAATTTTTACAAGAATTGTTTTCATTTTTTTAAAAATTTTAAATAAAATGATTTAAATCTTTGAAGTTTCTGTATTAATTTGTACTGGTTAGGTGATATTATTATTAAGTAAAAACTATACTTAGTAATCATAAAGCACCCTGTTGGCTGGAGCTGTAGAATATGCCAACTGCACCTCACGTGTATTAAGACCACCCCCTGCCAGATGGTGCCATCTGTTTGTCGTTGGTGGTGAACCGTGGTGTCTGGGGACGAGATCCTGGTGGTTGAGGGTTTCAACGGTCAGGGTTAGGTACTCCCAATTTCCAACACACCACTTTGACTCTTACCTGCACTAGACGGCAGTCAGAGAGGCCTGATCCAACCATTCAACTTGTCAGGTCAAGCCCTAACGCCTATAATGATACCAAACTATTGAGTACTTTAGTGAAAACTTTACCCAAATGAACTATTGGATGAATAAGAACTCAATCTAATGTATAGGTGTTAGGTGAATGGCTGAGGTCCAATTTAGGCTTGGACGTAATTGTTAACCCTTCAGTTTGTTCACAGAAAATTGGGGTAATGTAACAAATGTGGTGATGGGTGCTCTGGGTCTCTCACAAATGTGAGTATACTGGTTTGTGTAGCCCTGATCTGTCAGGGCGATTGGGTTTCCCCCTTGTCATGTCCCAGTGTTGGGCTCTGAAGTGAGTGGGGAGCACAGGCAATGAAATTTAATTCATAAAAGTTATGAATCAAATTAAATAACCTCAAGTGATACCTTTCAGATTCGGATTCTGAAAAAGAAATTATTACAGACTTTGAGATTTTTTTGTGCTTGAGTCCTTGGAGGAAACTCCTTTGTCAAGACTGTTCTCTTTCTTGATTGAGAATTTATTGTCCAGTTGGATTAATCTGAAATCACTTAGATGAGAGATGGCAATTTGATGGTGGGTGTTAAAACCAGAAAACACGGTGAATCTATAATGAAAATGAAGACTTTTCACAATATGAATATCAAAACTTTTACTCATACAACACTGAATACTTCAAAGGGAGTGATTAGAAATAAAGAGCTCTCTCTGGTCACACCAGAAGAAATTTCATCTGCCTTGTGTAACCAGGGAGTCTCTGATTACCCAAAGATCTCTATTAGAAGAAATGGGGAAAAATTATTTACAGATACATACATCCTTACATTTAATTCATCTAAAATCAAAATAGGCTACAATGTCAAGCCAGTGGAGCTATATATCCTGGCTCCTCTGAGATGTTTTAGATGTCAAAAATTTAGACATCATAGAGATAGCTGTAGCAGTCACCCTACATGTGCAAATTGTGGCCAAAAAACTCTAATCATGCTGAAGAAGAGTGCCAGGATGAAATTAAATGCATGAATTACCAGGAAAATCATCCAACTTTCTCTCAAACTTGTGATTACTGGAAAAAATAGATCATAGAAGGGAAATGTAAAAGGAGCATTTCTTTTACAGAAGCAAAAAAAAGTAATTGAAGAGTACATGAGTGGCTCTTCCTGTGCAAGAATAGTGGATAGAACAAGTCCAAATAACTCCAATTTCACTGACAAGTATAGGGACCTCATTGAGATGCTCGTACATTTGGAGCTGAAAGATTGGCCCATTTTTCAAAAAAAAAAAATCTGAAAAAACTATATTACAAAGTGTTAGGACAGATTGAACCAGGAAATGGTAACTGCCAATAAGAGTTTAACATCATCTCAGACTCTGACTACTCCTCCCAAAAATATTAAGCCATCTGCAGGACAAAGGTCACAGAGATCATCTTATATGTCCACCAAAGTCCTGAAACATTAGATTAAGTGCATCACCAAAGAGAATGGAAATGAACAAGCAAAAGCCAGAAATCCACAAAGCCCAAGTTTCTGCTGAAAATTCTTTTGATAATTTGTTTTAGTTTAGAAGTTTTAGCCGTCTGTAAGTTTTCACTCTCCACTTCCATCTCTTTCAACATAAGAACTAATAAGCCATAAACGCAAAAGAGTACAAGTATGTATAAAATCATTCAATGGAACTGCTGTGGAGTGAAGGCAAACATTAACAAGATGCTTCTGATGATAACAGACCTGGCTCCAGCAGTTATTTGCTTTTAAGAAACTTTTCTTAAGAAGGATAATAAAATGACTATTAGGGAGTACCAGCAATACAATTATATTAATGACCCTGGTCTTTGTGCATCAGGTGGTACATCTGTCCTAGTCAGGAATGATGTTTCACAAAAGTCAGATGACCATCCTGGGTATGATGATAAACTACATCTGCATCCTGGGTAAGATGATAAAATAAGTACAATAACAAGGCCTCTGATCAGGAGGTTTTGAGGTATGTGGAACCACCTCTTAATTGCTGGTGTTCCCAGGTCCACCCTAACCCGGGGTGGTAGCATGTGTTAGGGTCCCAGCTATGGGCAAATAGTTAACACCCAAACATGGCTCAAAATATTATGAAAGTGTAAAAATAGGTTTTAATACCAGAAATACTTTGTAAAAAAAAAAATAAAAAGTTACCAGCAATAATTTTTTGAAGGAAAAATTATCATCAGCAATACTTTAAAAAAAAAATTACCTGCAATAAAAACAGCTATATATTTTTTTTTTTTTTTTAAATATTACCAGCTATACATTTGTTTTGAAGAAAAAATATGCCCAGAAATAGATTTTTGAAGAAAAAAAAAAAATTACTAGCAATAAAAATTGTCGGCATTAAATAACCCACTGAGGCTGATATGCTGTAAAACAAACCAAACCGTAAATTGTTCAGGGTATGATGAAAAACTACATCCAACAGCAAAGCTTCTGAACAGAAGGTTTTGAAGAGCATGGAACCACCTCTTGATTGTTGGTGTTCCTAGGTCCATGCCGACCCAAGGTGGTAGCACCTGTTAGGGTTTCAACTATGGGCTAATAGTTGACCCCCAAACAGGGGTCAAAACACTGTGGAGGTGTGAAAATAGGAAGAATTAAAGTCTCATGGTTCAAATGTTGGAACAACAGAAAGTTCTGGAATTATTATTATATAGAACTTCACTGGATAGAATGTCAGATTTATTCACTCCAGATGCTGTCGCCAATTCAATTAGCAAATTTTTATACAATCCTGACGAAGGAATAACATTTCCAGCGTATTATAGAAGATACAATGAAATCTTCAAAAAGGATTGTTTGCACTGGGATGATGGAAAAAAATTTGCTTATTATTAAGAAAACTTTCTTCTGCGAAACATGAAAGTACATGAATTTTATTTTGCAACATCTAAGAGTGCATTCAAAAAAGATTATACACCTTTGTTTAGCACCACACCTATTGCTTGTCATGGCTGTGGTGGTAAATGTTTTAAGTGATTGTTGTTTTTAGGAACAAAAAATGCTATGAATAGGGGAAGATTGGGCACAAATTTATTCATTGTAAATACAAAAAAAATGAAAAAAAAAAAAAAACTTATGTGAATGTGGTAAATACTTTGTGTAAAGTAAAAAAATAACTTAAAGGAAAAACTACAAAAAAAAATTTGTTGAATGTGTCTTTAACTGAGCTAGAAACATCTCAAAGGAGGAAATTTGTTTTGTTAATAATGTAAAAATAAAACTACAACTGTATACAGGGTCTGATATCACCATTATCAATGAACAGACGTGGAGAAAAATGGGTAAACCCAGTTTAGCAACTTCTGAAAAAAATTCTCATGGTGTTAGCAGTTGTGTTTGTGGTAAAGAATACAGCTAATTTATTTGGAACAGATTTGATTGCATTATTAGATCTGTGGGACCTTCCAGTTAATTCATTCTGCAACAAAATAAATGTTACCTCTGGTACTAATACAGCAACCAAAAAATTAAAAAAGGTTTCCCAGAAATCTTCTCAAAAGGTCTAGATAGATGCACTAAAACAAAAGCTAAATTAGAAAAAGAAAAATGTAACACTGGTTTTTAAGCCAAAAAGCAGTGTACCTTTCATGGTATTAGAACCTATTAATAAGGAATTAGAAAGACTGGAAAAATTAGCAGTTATATCAAAAGTAGACTATTCCGAATTGGTGTCACTAATAGTTTACATGAAGAAAAAAAATAAAATCCATGTATGTGCTTGATTTTTCAATGGGATAAAATGAAATTTTGAAAGAATGTAACTACCTGTTACCAAGTCTGGACGAAATTTTTGCCAAATTAAATGGGGGTAAATTTTTTTTCTAAATTGGATCTCTTGGATGCTTACCTACAAGTAGATGAAGCGTGTTCTAAACTTTTAACAATTAACACACATAAAGGACTGTACAAATTTAACTGACTTCCTTTCAGTATAAAGGTAGCACCAAGTATATTTCAACAGATTATGGATAAAATGCTTTCCAGTTTGGATTGTGCACAAGCATATTTGGATGATGTACTTATAAAAAGTGAAACCAGAAACCAGCATACAGAATAGGTAAAAAAAAAACAAAAGTTTTTGAAATTTCTATATGTATGATATTGATACAAGTTTATTCATGGTAGACAATTAACCCTATAGACAGATTATCACCCA